CATTGTATTTTTTTTTTATTATTTTCTCTTGATATATAAATTGTATTTGTGCTCAAAGAGAAAAGTTGCCGCACTAGTGGCAGACTGTCGACAGAGCCAGTGGGCATAGAAATTGAAATTTAATTTTATTTATTTTTTAAAAATTATTTTAAAAAATGGCATACTCTGCTCAATATGTTAGTAGCTAGTTGTAAGCTATAAGTGGAGACTGTGCTTAAATAGAGCTATTCAAAATAGCATCACACTTGAGTGGTCACTCGTTATTTGGTGTCAGGCAATTTAAACAAGCTAGATTTAGCTAGAAATAGCTAGATATGTATTTATGTGCATATATGTATATATATATATGTATTTGAAGTTTGCATTCAATATTTCTATTTTCGTTTTTAATTAGTTTTAATGCTGCTGCTTTATGGGTCATATTTTGCATCTCAATATTCATTTGCACTTCCACCTGACACAAAAAAAAAAATCATGTGTTGCTGCTGCTGAACGTCTGGGCGTTGCTGGCCTTTTTTCTAACAATATTTATGGCCCATGCGATGAGTATTTTCATAATTAATTTCTTTCAGCTGCGGCAAGAGAAATATGCTCGAGGCCTAATGTGAATTACTGCGAATGTTGTTGCAATTGCAATTGTTGTTGTTTGGAAAACCCAATGCCGTTATGTGTGTGTGTGTGTGTGTGTGTGTGGTGTGGTGTGTGTGTGCCTGTGACAGTTTTTGTTGCTGCATTTGCCGCCTCTTTTCACATTTTTGATCGACAATTTCACTTTTCGTTGCCGCCACAAGCTCGAGGAAGACTCCAGCTCACACACACACACACACACACACACACACTCATACGGCTTATAGTGCACACATAATCCATGCATGCATATATATAAGGTCGACAACAATTGCGGTCGCTGGCAGCGCCAACATCTCAAAGATTCCCAGGCGCATTGTTGAATCGCGTGCAGTTTTTTTTCGCTCTTAGATTGAACATGTATATATATATATATATATATACAGATGTGTGTGTGTGTGTGTGTATATATAAGCATATATTGTCTGCCCGTTGGGGTCGTTTGTCAAACCTTATGGCGTTTTCAAGTGCAAAGCCAAGGTTGCATGCGAAGGAGCCAGCAGTTGGCTCTATTATTGACACGAAACGGGTTTGCAGCGAAAGAGAGAGGGAGAGAGGGGTGAGAGGGAGGGCGGGCGAGCTGCAGAGGGGGAGCGATAGGCATTGAGCGAGAGCGAGAGAGAACGCCTCAAAGAGGCAGCTTGTTTTAGGCATCAGCTGTAGCTGATGCTGCCAACTGTTGCAGAATTTCACTTTCTTTCGAAATTGCGCTGACCCCGATTTATTACCAATGACAGCAGCAGCAGCAGCCACAGTGTTAGCTTGGTCTTAAGCCTCACAGCCCCCGCTGCTTTTGTTTTATTTCATTTCATATCTTGTCACAGCGCCTCTAATTGAATTACGTTGTCTGCCCGCCCCCGACCCCCCCCCTCTCTCTCTCTCTCTCTCTCGGGCGACAGCTATGCATAGCCTCTTGGCACGCTTAGCCCAGCCTCGCCCAGCTCATCCCTGGCCCAAAAATAATTATGAGAAAGTCCACGCCTATTGTTGCCGCGTTAACTCGCTTCTAGCTTTTTTCGGCTCACCTATTGCCATTGCCATTGCCATTGATATTAAGCTGAATGCGCAGCGAGTTTTCACATAATTAGCTCAGTTGGCAGCTCCAAAATAGCCCAACTGCGGTTCAAAGTTGACCAGAGTCACGTCGAGTGGAAGCTGTGCATAAATATGTATATATATATATATCTATATATATGTATATGTATATTATGAAAATTGGGTTATTAGGATCATCGTGAGCTCGCAACTGCCAACTGCCACCTGCCAATTGCCAATTCCACTCCAAGGGAAATGCCAAGAAAAACTATTTTTACTTCTGCGAAATTGCCGTGAAATTGATGTCATTTAATAATTTCATGTTGCCATGGACTTTACCTCTTAGTGCTATAAATTTATTCAATTCATTTCGTCCAGGAGGAGGAGGGAAAAAAGCGATTGGAGCCTGCCTCTGACAGAATCCAATTGGAATTTTAATTGTTAAGTGATTCTTATTTGATTTCTTTTTAGTTAGTTGCGCGTTGGATTCTCTTACTCTCTCTCTCTCTCTCTCTTTGCTCTCTTCTTCTTTGTTTCCATCTTTTTCATTCTTAATCGGACTGTCTCACTCCCTATCTCTCTTATACTTGCCATCTACCTCTCTGTCTTTCTTCTCTGCTTTCTGTTCTTCTCTGTCTTTATCTTTCTCTCTCTGTCTACTTTCTCTCGCTGCCTCTGTTTCTCTCTTTCTCTCGCTCTTTCCCTTAATTTCGTTATATTTCTGTCTCCATTTGTTTTCCTTTCTCTCTCTGCTTATTTCTCTCTCTTTCTCTTTCTCTTTGCCTCTGCCTTTAACTGTCTCTGTCTCTATCTCCTTCCTCTTGCCTCTCTCTCTCTCTCTCTCTCTCTCTCTCTCTCTTTTTTAGCTCTCTCTATCTCTCTCTGTCGATCTGCTCCCCCTTCTTATCTCTCTCTCTCTCTTCGGATAATCTCTCTCTATCTACCTCTCATCTCTTCTATATCTTCTCGCTATCTCGCGAGACATATCGCTCTAGCTCTTTCGCGATCTCTTCTCACTCTCTTCTTTCTCTTTGTTCTCTTCTGCTTTAACTGTCTCTCTCTCTATCTCTTTCTCTTGTTCTCTCTCTCTCTCTCTCTCTCTCTCTTTTTCTCTCTCTCTCTCTATCTCTCTCTCTGTCTATCTGTCTCCCCCTCTCTTTCTCTCTCTCTCTATCTCTCTCTACATATCTCTCTATCTCTTTCTCTATCTCTTTCTCTATCTCTCTCTCTCTCTCTCTTGTTTCTCTCTTCTGTCTTTAACTGTCTCTCTCTCTATCTCCTTTCTCTTGCTTCTCTCTCCCTCTCTCTCTCTCTCCCACTCTCTCTCTCTCTCTCTCTCTCTCTCTCTCTCTCTCCGACTCTCTCTCTCTCTCTCTCTATCTCTCTCTCTCCCACTCTCTCTCTCTCTCCATTTGCTCACATCTCAAGTGGCTGCAGCTTTATTTGACAGCCAACAAATTGACTTTAATCTTAAATGAAATTGAATTCCCCAAGAAAAGTTTGTTTGGGTTCGCTTAGTTTATGAGTAGTTTTTAAGCAGCTGCTGCTGATCGAATCGATGCGTAATCGTTGCAAATGATGAGAAGCCAACCGCAAGTGGTGAGGGAAGATGGTTAGGCCTAGCTGGGGCTGCTGTGCGGGGACGGCAGGGAGCGAGGCAAATGCCAAAAGCAACCATAAATAATGGTAAATTGACATTTAGACGCACATGGAAGGAAGTTCAACATATTTGTGGGTACATCGTGTGTTGCATGCAGCTTTTTAATGTGGTCGCCTCGGCTGCATGGAAAGCAGCAACTGAAGCAAAGGCAAAAGCAAAAGCATTGCAAAAACTTAGTTGCTGTTACTTGATGATAATGGTGACGCCATCTGGCGGCCGGTAGCCATTGGCCATTGGCTGGGGTCAATTAACAATTTGGGCCACGACCCTGCCCACTTGAGCCAAGAGAAAGCAGCAATGAGCCAAAATTCATTCGTTATAGTTACACGACTTCAGCTTCACATAATTTAAATTATATTCAAAATTTCTCAATATAAATCATTTAATTTGATTGAATTTAAATTAATTATTTGAACAAATATCAAATTTTTATTGAATATTGATCAATTTATTAGGGCTTATTATGAAACAGTAAATAAAAAATTTTAAAATTTAATTTGAGCAATTAAAGCAATATTTTAAATATAGTTTTCTATTTATATTTATTTCAAAATATATTTTCATATCTATTTATTTTAATATAAATTTATATTTTATATAGAAAATTCTGGAATTTTCTTAAAAATAGGGCAATATATTAAAATATATTTAAAAAGCTAAAAAAATATTGATTAATTTTAAAAAATATTTATATATTATATACAATTTTTTTTTAAGTTACTGAACAAAAATATATTTGCAAAATATGTTTTAAAAACTAATAAAATTGAAAATATATTTAAAAATTAAAATTTTAATTAACTTTAAATATATAAAAAAATGCTTAAATTAATAAATTAAAAATTAAAATTTTAATTAACTTTAAATATATAATATTTAAAATAAATATTAAAAAGTTTTAAAATATGTTAAAAAACATTTTTAAAAAGTATATTTAAAAATTCTTAAATTAATAAAATTAAAAATATATTTAAAAATTAAAATTTTAATTAATTTTAAATATATAATATTTAAAAAAATATATATTAAAAAGTCTTAAAATATTTTTAAAAGCATTTTGAAATTAATAAAATTCAAAATATATTTAAAAATTAAAATTTTAATTAACTTTAAATTTATAATATTTAAAAAAATATATATAAAAGTTTTAAAATATTTTAAAAAGCATTTTTAAAGAATGTATTTAGAAATGCCTAAAAAATGTAAAATTAATGTAAGCCAAATATTGAAAATGTATAATGTATGTATATATATATATATGTAATGTATGTATATATGAAAATATAGCAAAGCCAAAATATGTTTATTCATTCAAACATATTTCAAAGAGATTCGAGTGCTGTAAGTTTTTTGTCAACACATTTTGAGGCGAGGCTCCACGGTGGCAATATTTAATTGATTTACTAGGCACTCACTATATAAATTTATATATTGTGGTATTCTGGCTGATATCTGTTGTAGTTATCTGCCTCTGTTATTATTGTTATTTGGTGGTGCGTGATTTTGACGTTAATTGGCTTTTAATCTAAAGAAGCCTCTTCAATGGCGCGCGATTAGCAGCGCGACTCGAGCTATGCGCAGAGCCCGAAGAATCGAGCGAATGCGTATGTTTTATGCTTGGCTCAGTTATAGATTTATGTGGCATATAGTCAATAGCTGATTCATCTATTTTGCAATTATGTCGTATCGCATGGGCATCTGCCATTGGGTCGATTAGTCAGTTTCAGTTGCCTGCAGAGGGCTGTCATCAGGTTTTGGCGGGCAGCGGGCAGCTGATAATCAGTATCAATATTTATGAGGAATTCTGCTATCAATGCTGTGCGTAAATAGCCTCGCAAATGAGTGAAGTGGGCTGCGCAGGATCGCAATGCCAATGAAGTTAATCACTTCATTTCGATGTACATCTGTGGCGCCTATGTGGGCTGTGGTCAGTCGACCTGTTTGCCTGTTGGCTTTAATTGTGGCCGGCCGCCAGACCTTGGCCATGAAAACGAGCTCGCATAACCGGCTCAATAATGCTGCTTGGTCTGGCTAACCGGATCAATAAGGCCCGCTCCAATTTGGCCAAAGCTAATGGTGGCCATCTCGACTGAAGGCATTCAATTTATGAGCCAAAAAGTGAAATGTTAAATTGATTGCCGTTAGCCTGCACTGAGCGAAAATGTGTGCAAGCAACTCTCGTTTCAGTTTTGCTGCTCTTCTATGCGATTTTCAGCAGCAGAGTTGCACTTGCTTAAGATCTCCATTTAATCTGTTTGTTACTTGACTTTTCTCTCAGTGCACTCTCACTCTCATCGTGGCTTTCGATCTCGTTGCAGGCAACTTGCAGCCAGCTGACAACTGCTTTGGGCCTGCTGCTGACGACGCTGCTGGTGACAGCCGTTGCGCTGTCGCCGCCGCAGCCGGCGGATCATTTGGTGCCGCCGCCAGCGCCCATTGCGCTGCCCACAGCGCAGCGGCTGACGCATGCGGGCTACTCGGAGCCACAGCCGCCGGAAGGCGGCTTCATGACGCGCGTCGCCCGCTGGTTTGGCCTGGGCGGTGCTGCGGCAGCGCCGCGCGACCAGCAGCTGAGCGGCAGTGGCTTGAGCTATGCGTATCCGAAGCCCACGCAGAACTTCAATGCGGACGGCAAGCCTTGCGGCCTGTGCAACAAGTATCCCTGGGTGCCCATGTTCGGGCAGCAGCCGCAGCAGCCGCTGCAGCTGCACCAACAGCAGCTGCCCCAGCAGCAGATCTCCGCCTGGCAGCAGCAGCAGCCCTTGGCTCAGGCCTCGCAGCATCGTCAGCGAGCCGTGCAGTTTCAGGCGCCGCCCCAGAGCGTCTTCCTGCCCATCTCGCTGCCTGTGCCGGGTCTGAATAGTGCAGCGCTGCCGCCGCTCTACAATGCGCAGCCTTTCCGGCCGCTGCCCCAAGCTGCGCAGCAGTCGCATCAGGCACAGCCACAGCCGCCACAGCCTTCCCAGTTCTATCCTTTGGAGAATGTTGGCGCACACTCGGAGCTGCGACCTGTGCCCGTGGTGCCATCGACAACGCCGCCGCCGAGGCAGTCGAGCAGCAGCTTTGAGATTGTGCAGAGCCATCAGCTGACGGATTTCGTCACCTCCGTGGAGTACCCGGCCACCTATGTGCAGTCGCATGCCATTGACTTGGGGCAGACGGCAACGCCCACGGTCACAGCGCTGCCCACGAATCATAGACCCGTGCAGCAGCTACAGCAGCAGTTGGAGCAGCAGCAGGAGCCACAGCAGCCGCTGGACATAAGCACTGTGCGCTATCAGCTGGAGGATCTGAGCAGCGGTGCAGTGCATCAGCATTTGCCTGGCTCACAGCTGCTCACCGAGCTGGGACACTTTACGCCGGCCACCGTTGAGACGCAGACAACGCTGACGCCGCCGGCCGACAACTATCCGGCCGCCTCGTCGCAGCAGCAGCAGCAGCACGAGGAGGAGCAGGAGCAGCAGCACCTGTACTACGCCGAGCAGTATCAGGACCTGGCCGAGACCAGCACAGTGACGCCAGTCTACGAGTCGCTGGTCTACACCACAGAGCAGCCGGCGCCGCCGGCCGCTGTGGAGCTGAACAATCATTTGGTGTCGCATGTGCGCGATGGGCGGCAGCGGGACACGCCCAAGCGGCTGCTCGATTCGCCCATTAATCACGGCCAGGTGGGTGCACCGCCGCCACGCCCATTTACACGTGATCCCGCTGAGCTGAACTTCCGGCTCGGCCAGCCGACGCAGGCGCCAGCGCCCACGCCGACGTCCACGTACGGCGCCATCGACGCCAGCGGACAGTATGCGGGCATGTCGCCGCCGGGGCCACAGCAGGTGATCATACCGTATACGACCAAGCAGAAGCCGCGCCCCTTCGAGCCGGTCAACTGGACGCCCGGCTGGCGGCTGCGGCCCACGCAGGAGAACGATGTGCACGAGCAGCAGGAGTCGAAGCTGGTGAGCACCTCAACCGTGACAGCGGCGCCGCCGCCGAATACGCGACGCACCACCAAATATCTGACCAAAATTCTGGCCTCCAATCTGCGCGAGCTGCTGAAGCGCGAGCGCGAGACCAAGCGCCGACCCGCCCACTTTGGCGTGGACATCTCCAAGCTGCAGCACAACATTGACGGCTGGACGGAGCAGGAGTACAACTCGCTGTCGCATCGCCCCAGCACGCCGACCATACGCGGTCGCTCCAAGCACATACCCACGGAGTATCTGACCACAACGACGCCAGCGACACCGACAGCCACGCGCCAGTCGAAAACGACGCGCGGCGGCGGCGGCGGCGGCGGCTTTGAGCTGGGCGGCAGCGTCACCTCCAGCTTGGGCTCCGCCGGCGATCTGTCGACCTCGATTAACAACTTGGAGCAGCTGCATCTTCGACGCTTCCAGCCCGTCGAAGACAATCGCCTGTTGCCCGACTACTACGAGTCGGCGCAGCGTCAGAGCCCAGCGCTGCGCAGCACCACACCCATGCCCACTGCCACGCCCACGGCCAGAACGACAACGACGACGGCAGCGCCCACGATGGCGCCGACGCCTCTATATGTGCGCACCACAGCAGCCACGCCAGCGCCCGTCGAGCTGTGGAAGCAGGCCAAAGTCGCCATTCTGCCCCAGACCAATGAGAAGGTGTACGTCGTCACGCCACAGCCGCGTCACCAGGCGCAGCAGCAGGGCGAGCTGTCCGCCTCGGCCTCGGTGGCGGCACCGGTCTACCAAACGCCAGCGCCTAGATTTCCACGTGTGCGACCCACACCTGGCACGGCAACAGGTAAAGTCATACCAAGGCAACAATGCTTATAGAACAAGCTGAGCACTTTGTGTATCCGGTGCGGGTATTATGCAGTCGGCTATTGCCCAGCTAAGCATATTTAATACTTTCTCTAATTATCTCTCTCTCTCTCATTCCCTCTCCTCTTACAGTCGCTAGCGAACTGATGGCAGCCACGCCCACGCCCTCCACGGAACAGGTGCGCAACTATACGCCGGATATCTTCGGTCTGATGGGTCTGTCCGCCTATGTGCCCGCGGAGCCAGTGGAGATCATCGATGGCAATTCCAAAGTAAATCGCAATGCAGCAGCTGTACGCTTTGATACGTAATCATAATGTTTGCTCTGTTTCGACACACACACACACACTCATGACCATATTACACAACACTGGTTTTTCACTCACATCCGCATCCGCACACACACACACGCACACTCAGGTTATCACAATTGTGACAGCGGCGCCGGCAGCGGCTGCGCTGCAGCGACAAACACCAAAGTCCACGATATCGCCAAGACCCAGATAGAGCCCCTGCCAGGACACGACGACCAGCAGCCAACAGTCCCGAGCACTGCCTGAGCTGACTTCTAAGCGTTTCCATTGACCAGCGCGGCGCATCTATTGTAATATATTTCCCCAGGCCGATTGGATGGATGCACCTGACTTATCGTGTTGCGAACTTAATTTGTAAGCCTAAACCAATTTTAGAGTATTTTTGCATTTGGTAGCTTTACACGTACATTTAGTTTTATATGTATTGGTAATGTGTTTTACTGCTATTTTTTTGTTTTTTTTTTCCTCGTCGCTGCAATGTGACGCGAACTTTAATTTTATTTCAAATATATTTATATATATATATAAATATATATATACATATATACATATATATATGCATATATGTATGCTCGTAGCAATATGGAAAGTCTAGTTTGGCCACGCCCCATTGACACGTGCGTGTGGGCGCCGGAGCAGTGTATCTTTGTAATTACTTAAGCGGAATACAAAAAATAAAAAGAAACGAAAATCAAAACAAATTAAACTATTGAAATACAATTGTAAGACATATATAATACCAATCAAAGTCACTTTTATGTATCTAAGCTGAGAAAATTGCAATTTATTCAATACATTAACTAAATAAAGGTAATATTTTTATGTCCATTGATTATCCTACATTTAATATAGTAGCTGCCTAAAAGTGTGCAACAAAAATGCTACACTTTTTACTTGAATGCAAACTCTTCGAATTGGCAGAGTCCTGGGATGTAATAAAAATTTATGTATGTCAGCCACAACACACACTTCGTGGCTATGGGTGTGCTTATAAATATATATATATATATATATAAATATATACAAAATAATATATGCACTGCCTAAAAGTATGCAGCGTAATTCTGCGAACTAAATTTTTGTGCCGCACAAAAGTATGCTACACTTTTTATTATTTGAATGAAAACTCTTCGAATTGGCATTGTCTTAGGACCTTTATGTATTTCAGCCACTAATTTGAGTCAAGTATCTACATACGTGGCTATGTGTTATATGTATATATATATATACATATATATACAATAAATGTGCTTAATTTACAAAAGAGCTTAATGCTAAAAAAAAAATGTGTTCATATATTTAAGAGTTTAATCAACTGGCCAGCTTGCGTCTGTGGCGTCGCAGCAGCGCCTCAAAAGCCCACAAAGCAGCGGCCAAAAATGATAGCGCATCTAGGCAGTGCAGCGCCACCGAGTAGTTGAAGCGATCTCGCACAAGACCTGCAAGAATCAGATAAAGCCATAGCTAGAGATACAAATACAGATACGAATGCAGCTAGGACCTACCCACGAAGGGACCGCAGATGAGCGTGAAGAGGCCCGAGATGAGCAGCTGCAGGCCGGAGGCACCTGGCAGACGATTCAGCGGCACGTAGCCGGGTATGATCAGTGGCCAGAAGATGGTTCGCACGCCCTTGCACAGGCCAATCCACACGAAGCAGGCAAGAATGCCCGCATAGGATCTTGTGCAGGCCACGATGGTGCGTCCGATGGCAATGCCAACGACGCCAATGAGAAAGAAGACGCGATTATCCCAGGGCATTTTTTCCGTGATGAACGGCACCAGAAATCTCATGGTGATGTCCATGCCGGCCATCAGTGACATGGCCACCGTGATCTGTGGCGTATCGAAGCCAAAGTCCGTCAAGATGAACGGCGTTAGAATCGAAAAGTTCAGCTCCCCGAAATTGATGACCGTCAGGCCGGCGACCAGGTTCACAAAGGTGATGTCGCGCAGCAGATCCAAATCGAAGAACGTGACGATCTTCTGTATGCAGCTCATCTTGGCCGGATTGGGCAGCTCCGCCTCGTTGTTGTTGTTGGACTCGAGCTGCTCAGTTTGCCGGGCCGCGTAGAGCGCCCGCTGCTCGGCGCAGCTGCAGCACAGCTTCGACTCGAGTATGGACTCCTCGCGCTCTCGCCGAAAGTTGTTTGGGCGCAGAAACTCTTCGTCCTGCTGCTGGTGCTCCTCGCTGATGGGACAGCGCAGGCGCTGCGTATGCTCCAGGTCCTTGGAGCTGGACACTGTGCGAAAGCGCATACGCCCCGAGGTCAGCGACAGCTTGGAGCCATACCAGCCGTCGTTCGCCCGCGACAACATGGGCGTGCCCGGCTCAATGATCTCGTAGCCAGGCCGCTGGGCGTCGTCATCCTGATACAGATACTGGCTGGAGAAGATGCCGCCCGGCTCGCGCTTGCGCTGCAGCGCACAATGGGCGCACAGTATCTCCGGCTGCTGCTCCACTTGCATGAGCGCTGCGCCCGCGGCGCTCGCCGACGCCTCCGGCGGCACATGGTAGCGCACCGGCTGGTAGATGAGCGCACTGATAAAGCTGTGCAGCGCAATGGCGGCAAAGATCAGCACCGTGCCCTGGACATCGTAGATGCCCAGCAGAAATGTGACCAGATATGGCAGAAAGATCGGTCCCAAGCCGGTGATGGTCCACGAGAAGCCAGCGGCGCGTCGGCGCTTCTGCTGAAAGTACGTGTTGATGGCCAGCGAGGAGGCCGACACGCTGATGCCCATGCCGAAGCCTGTTAGAGGGGGCGAGATAGCAACGAGAGCAAGTCGAACGGGCGAACTACACGCTTACCGTAAAGCATCGCATAGGCGAATATGTAGCCAGCAAAGGTCTCACAGAAGGCGGTCAGCACGATGCCCGTGAAGCAGAGCAGAGCACCGGCCATGGCCACCTGGCGGAAGGTGAAGCGCCGGAACATGGGCCCATTGAGCAGGCCCGTGCAGGCAGAGACCGCGGGATTCGTATTGATGATGGCCGTCACCTGTGAGCTGCTCATGCCCAGATCGATGAGCCGTTCGCGAAACATGAAGCCGAACTGCTGCAGGCACGGATACAGCGATAGCTAAAAGGCATAGAGCAAGGGAGGAGCGAGAGATTGGCTACTGTCTGCCGCTGATAATTGCTTGCATTTTACCTACATTCGATACGCCAGCGGCGACGCACACCAGCCACGCCCAGCCGCCATCGGGCGCCACAAAATTCTCGCCGAGATCGCTCTTGTCCTTCCTGTTGTAGTAGCCGCCCCGGTCACGTCGCGGCAGCGGCTGCGTCGTATCCCCATAGACCTTCTGCTCCTGGGACACCATCGCCTCGCTGGCCCTGCAATGAGAATGGCAATCGATTCATCAGCTCTCACTGTGACGCAAGTCGCGTCGCTGCCAAATGGACGACGTCAATTTCTGAATGATTTAAGGCCAGTTGAATTGCAATAGAGTTTTAACGATCACTTGTCACAATCAACGGCCACAGTCGCTGCTGCACGAGGCGTTCAGTCAGTCAGGTATGAGCTCGTGTTGCTGTTGTTGCCGGGTTCATGGCTGGGCCGTAGCCATCAAATCTTTTGCCCGTCTTATCAGCATCGTCATATGACCAGACTTCAGCTTAGAGCGCAAATTGTTGGCGAGCCAAGTGAATCATGTAGTCGAACTAGAACTATATACTAGGCACAGTATATATATATATATGTTGTATAATTGTAGAATATATATATATATATAGGGCTAACTAACTGAGCTCCCTCTCTCTGATTTACCTGCGCTAACTGAACGTCTCTGTTGATCTTATCTCTATCTGTATAGACCTCTTCTGTGTGGCTAGAAGATACAGCTAGCTGATAACAATAGTTCTATTGTGTGATCAATATAGCCTGCGATCGATTGATTAGATTGCGATTCGCTTCGGTTGGTCCTGTTCTTCAACGGCGTGTGGGAGTAGCACAGGTGTGGCTAGGCGCGATTGCGTTTGCGATTGCGATTTGGCGCCAAGCTCATGAGCGGAATTCGTGATAAGAACGTGTTACAGAACCAATTTAATCGTGTCATGTAATCAGCCATAGATTGATATATCTCTCTATAACTGTGCACATACCTTGATAATAATATATATAAATCAATTTATATATATATATATATATATATATATATATATATATATATATATATATATATCTCGTTGATTGCTCTGCTACGTTGCTCTTGGCTAAGGCGAATGCGAATTTTCGTTGGCAGCCGAGATCTGCCTCTTGGCGCCTTTTGGCTTCTCCTCCTTCTCCTTTGCCTTAGCAAATTTTATTTTTACTTGTGCGCTCACACACGCACACACACACACACGCGCGCACTCACGCCCACATTTACAAAAATTGAACAAAATTTACATCTTTTAGTGGCTTTGACTTTGGCAGCTCATCAAGTTCAAAGTCGCCAAGCAGCACGCACCGCGAGCTAATTTGGTCCACTCTAGAGGCCACTTAGCACAACGTAACCGAAATTCGAATTAGAATCCAATTGGCATGCAGCAATGCAATCTAATGATGAACAATTGCTAACGGTTAAGCGGTTAACGGCTAAACGGTTATCGGCGCGATACTCGGCCTCGGTCTCGACGCTTTTAGCTGCTCAAACAAACTAAAAAACCGATAATTGCTCGACGGCAAATCAGCGAAAATGCCAATCCAATTGAGAGACGGCAAGCAGCGTGCAGCTGTTAGCGCTCTGTTAGCGCTCTGTTAGCTAACAGCAGCGCACTCTACGCTGTTTACCCCAGTAAAATTGAGCTAGCGGCGAGGTGTGTTTGACAAATTCAGTTTATTGTGCGACTCTAGGAAACAATATAATGTTTTAAGCTAACTGTGCAAAACATTGAGCTATTCAGACAACAGCAACACGCTAACTGCCATTAGGCAATACAGCAAATATATTATTATTATTATTATATATATTTATCGTTCAGTAATTAAGTGTTCGTTTCGCCGCAGTCGCTTAGTTGAATGTGTTTGTTTAATGCATATTTTAATTTATGTGCATACCAAATATCATGCAGTGCCCATGGTACAGTGAAAGCGCCCTATAATGAACTAGTCAAAAAAAAAAAGTTTTAGTCAAATAAAATTTCCTACTCAATTCAGTTCACAAGTTATCAAGTGCAACGTTTAATGTTTTTTTTTGTAAAAGTACAGTCCCATTAAAGCTAACAAATATTAAAAAAAAAAGACATATATATATATATATAGACATATAACTTGCTAGCTATAAGTACGTATCACGAATAGGCAATCGTGCTTAGGGCCTAGGTAATATCTCTTAAGGTTACAATCTTATGCTAGGAGCTTACGAGCTGAAGTTAGTGCGAATGGCTTAAGGTAATACTACAGACACGGTATCTTAAATGGATGCGACTCGGCCTAGTTGCAGTCTACAGTGGCGGCCCGCACAAGTAGCTCAGTTGCTGCAGGGCCGTGGCTGCCGAACGCTACTGTTCCGGCGGACTGTACGGCTTGTTGAGTGCGCGTCGAATCGCCGACTCGGCGATCCACATGAGCAGAGCCATCGCGGTCAGAAAGTTGATGCAGTGAATGGTGGCGCCGTAGCCATAGGCGTTGGTGATGACGCCTGCAAAACGAAACGAGCAACCAATTGAGATTAGAGAAGGCAATTCAGAGCTGCGCCTCGAGGGCAATACCCACCCAGCAGGGGTCCCATGGCAAAGGAGAAGATCGTGTTGAAGATCAGCTGCAGTCCTGAGGCGGCGGGCAGGCGGCGCAGCGGCACATAGCTGGGTATGATCAGCGGCGAGAAGATGGTGCGGAAGCCCTTGCCGAAGCCGATGAGTAGAAAGACGGCCACGACCACATTGAACGACGAAGTCCAGGTGACAATGACACGGCCGACAGCAATGCACACAATGCCGAAGGCGAACAGCACCCGATTGTCCAGGTTGACCTTCTCAAGAAAGATCGGGGCCAGGAAACGCACCGATATGTCCATGCAGGCCAGCAGCGACATGACCAGGGAGCACTGTTCGTTCGAATAGCCATAGCTGTCCAGGATGAACGGCGTTAGCACCGAGAAGTTCATCTCGCCAAACATCATGATGCTCATGCCGATGACCAGGTTGACAAAGGTCACATTGCGCAGCAGATCGAGATCGAAGAATTTGGTCACCTTCTGGCGGAAGTTCATCTTGCGCTTGGCCACCTCCTCGGCCTCCTCGGCCGCCTGCAGTGCCTGCTGCTGGAGCCGCAGTGCCTCGGCCGATTTCTCCAGCAGCGCCTTGTCCTCGGCGCACGTGCAGCGCAGCAGCTCTTCGCAGCCGCCTGGCTTGGAGTAGATGCTCGCCTTGCTCGCGTAGCGTCCGAGGTCGCCACGTTCGCGATTGAAGTAGTTCGGCTTGGACAGCCCCATGGCCGTCTCCTGCTGCCGCTGCAGCCTATCCGCCTCGTTGGCCTCCTCCAGCTTGTCCAGATTGTCGCGACTCGCCTTGGTGGCAGCCGCCGTCGCGACACCGACAGAGGCCTGACGCAGCATCACCTGTCGCCGCTCGGAGGCCAGCGACAGCTTGGAGCCGAACCAGCCATCATTGGCACGCGCCAGCATCGGTGTGCCTGGCTCCGTTATCTCATAGCCGGGATGCTCGGGATCGTCGTCATTGAACAGGTATTGCGAGGAGAAGATGCCGCGCTTGGCGCGCCTCTGATACTGGCAGTACTTGCACTCGTAGTCGCTCCAGGGATCGCTGCTCGCCGACAGCAGGTTGCCGTTGGCCTCGACCAGCTCGGGCTGCTCCTTCTGGTCGACGCTGTCGCCTTCCGGCTTCTCCGGCTTGCGCACATGCCGCATCACCGGCTGCAGCGTGAGGGCGCAGAGCACCGCATTGAACGCGATGCCGGCATAGATCAAGATGGTGCCCAGCGAGCCGTAGTAGCCCAGCAGAAAGGTGGACACATAGGGGAAGATGATGGGTCCCAGGCCCGTGATGGTCCAGGAGAAGCCCGTGGCGCGCCTGCGACTCTGCTTGAAGTACGTGTTGACCGCCAGCGAAACGGCGGCCATGGCCAAGCCCAAGCCCACGCCATAAATCAGCGAGAGGCAGACAATGTACTGCCAGAAGGTGGTGCAGAAGGCCGAGCCGAAGATGCCCAGAAAGCCAAGCGTTGTGCCCGCCAGGGCCACCTGGCGAAAGGTGAAACGCCGGAACATGGCCCCATTGAAAATGCCTGTAAAATTGACCAGAGTTTAGCTGGCTAACGCCACACCAACAGCTGCTGGCACTTACCCACTAGCGAGGACAGAGTCATCACCACATTCACGATGATCGTCGTTTCCTTCGCATCGAAGCCCAGCAGCGACATGCGCGCCCTGTAGATCAGGCCGTACTGCTGCAGTGCCGGAAACATAAAGAACTATGGAATCCCAGCGGATTAGTCGATGTCACTTTCAGTTGCTTGTCGCAGCTCTGCCCTTGATACTCACATTGTTCAGGCCCGCAGCCACGCAGATGACCCAGCCCCAGCCGCCGTCGGGTGCCACAAAATCGGGCCCCAAATCGCTCTTGTCGCGCCGCTTCGGCTTCTTTGGCTTCGTCGTCTCATTGTAGACACTCGCATAGTTCTTCTGTGTCAGCGTGGACTTATCCATGGTAGTGGCTGCCTGCACATGGAGTAGAGCGAAAGGGGAAAAATTGCTTTCATTTCCAAACTTGCGAATGCTTCAAGCTTACATTGACTCGACGGGCTGTACAATATCAAGGACTGCTCTAGCCTAGTCTTATAGAGTGTTGAGCTATTTAGGCTACATCAAATAAGGAAATTTCCTTGTCTAAGGAAGCTGCAGCTTTGGCATAGCACATAAACAGCTGACCCCCCCGGCAGGAATGGTAAAGGTCTATATATGTCTGGCAAACTGCAATCAACTATATATTCCACAGTTGCACAGCAAGCAAGGGCTCAGAGCCTCGCCTTGAGATGGGCAACAAGCCCATCGCAGGTTGTCCGAATGCGGACAAAGTTTTTCCTGGCGTAGTTTGTCGTCCTTTCACACGTTCTATAGACACATCTGTTAGCTATACTTTGAGCTGTTATTGAGCGAATGCATAACTGTAAGACAGCCAAGTAGAAAAGCGCAATAAGCCGGAAGTCAAAGACGTCACTGAGCGAGATCTAACATCAATTTCTTGCTCAATTCACAAGCTCAGAGCAGACGCGTCTATCGATCTATAAACATTGCCTTGGAGTCACGCTAAGAGCTATGCAAAATTGTCGCCATTTATGAGGTGGATAATTGCGGTCTATCAGTGCTATTAGACGGCGACTCCTTGCGGCATGCCGCGGCGCACCTCATCATTATTGCTATTGCCTAATGCTAGATAATGCTCTAATTGCTAATTGGCAGTGTCGCCGACAACGCCGGCCGTTCCCTGCGCACTGGCTCTAGGTAGGCATAGGGGGACGGGTGTCTGTCTTATGGGGGGACGGGCGTTTGTCTTAGATGTGCTTTCTACATTGTGTTGATTTTGCCAGATGGGCGCGACGTGACCAAAAACCGCGTCGATCTTTCTGGCGTTGTTTTATATGCAAAACACGACGGTCGCCAGGAGTATCGATCGCTGTGGCTTCTTCGCCCAGAGCAAGCCGATTGAACATGGCTTGGGAAATCACTTAGCGGGTGTGCCCGGTTCACTGAGATCACTGCGATGCCATGGAGCTGGCTTAATGACAGACAGGCAAGCGGGCACAGGAATGGTTCTTCAGCCAGGGGCAAAGGCAGGGGGGGCAGGCAGACTGTCGCCGTCAGTTGGGTCCTTCATAAAAACGAAGAGACAAAACAAAAAATCGTTTGGTTTGGCTGTAAAAATAATGAAGAGTCTCCCCCTCTCCCCCTCGCCCCCTCGCTTGTGTCGCCCTCATCTGAACAGTTCTATTTATGCAGCGATAATTCGGAGACAGACAACCAACTGGTGCAGCCGGTGCACTTGGCTGCTGGCACTTGGATGTCTTCATCCGCGTTGAAGATAGCGAGTTGCAGTTGTTGCCGCCGCGTCTCGTTTGCCATTGAACTCCATCGAAGCGTGCCATAAATTGACGCCCGCTGTCAGAGATCTCGACAGACAGTGTCAGTGTCAGGGGCGCAGTGAATGGCAGCGTCTGTGGACGAGTTCAAGATCAACTCTGAGCAAAGGGGAGCAGCACTTAACAGCCTCACGCACTCAGGCCATCGATCAATGCCCGTGTAGGCCGTGACAAAATGAGACAAGAGCTCTGCAGTCGGCTGTATCCGACTGCGGGATGCCCTGTAGACTTGCTGCATACCAAATCAATGCCAATACCTAGGAGTATCTATAGGTTAGAGCTGCTAACTGTAGCTTACTGAGACTAAAGATCGATAGCTTTTTGATCGATCAGTCGCTATGAACTTGATCTTGTGTAATGCATATAATTTCCGGGTAAGATCTATATAAGTTCGTTCAGATCAGGCGTGTTCAAAGAATGCAACTAAAGATCGATAACTTTTTGATCGATCCTTCGCTATAAAATTGATCTGCAGAGGGAATATGTAATGCATATAATTTCCGGGTAAGATCTATATAAGTTCGTTCAGATTAGGCGTGTTCAAAGAATGCAACTAAAGATCGATAACTTTTTGATCGATCATTCGCTATAAAAGTGATCTGCAAAGGGAATATGTAATGCATATAATTTCCGGGTAAGATCTATATAAGTTCGTTCAGATCAGGCGTGTTCAAAGAATGCAACTAAAGATCGATAACTTTTTTATCGATCATTCGCTATAAAATTGATCTCTAGAGAAAATGTGTTATGCATATAGCTTGGGTCAGCTCAGCTCTGTTCAACGAATAAAACTAAAGATCGATAACTTTTTTATCGATCCTTCGTTATGAACTTGATCTGTAGAGGAAATGTGTTATGCATATAGCTTCCGGTTGTATAAGCTGGATCAGCTCAGCTCTGTTCAACGAATAAAACTAAAGATCGATAACTTGCTTATCGATCACTCGCAATGAGCTTGATCTGCAGAAGACATCTGGCTTCTCGGTCAGTTCTGTTCAATCGGGATCAGTGTATATGCATACTGCATGGTCTCCGCCACGCCCACTTTTGCCTGTTACATAAATTTGAATAAGTATCATACCCGCTGGGCATAGTCTCAGGGTATACGCAAATAACTTTCGCTTAGCACAGGCACCGAGTCAAAATATTTAGTTGGCCTGAAGACTAGACCCAACTGACACCACACAGACTGACCAAGAGAAAGGCAGAGGCAGCGGCAGCGACAGCGGCAGAGGCAGAGACATTTACTTAACAAGCGTTATCAACTCGACCGGTTTGCAGCTAGCTGTGATTTGTCGTCGCTTCGATCGCGCGGCTATTTAATGGTTTGGCTTTTCGCAAGTCATGCGGCATGGACAATAATAATAAGTATGCCATTAGCATGACAAAACGCAAAGGCGTCGTCATCAGCGTGGCACAGCCGAGCGATTCTCATTCAGCATACGTCAGAGTTGATGATCATGATCATGATCAACTGCGATGACTGATCGCAAACACCGATGCACTCGAAACTCTGCCAAAACTGAGACGATTAGATTCATTCATATGCTTCATTCATGAACTATGCCTCGCGCTTTAAATGTTGCTGAAATACATATTTCAATCATGCCATAACCATAAGTTAGAACTATAATAATATTATAAGTGGATGCTATTTATAAAGCTGTTCCAGAGTCCAACCGGTTTCAGTTTTTTTTTTTGTTATTTGCTTTCGGCTAACTTCTACACTGCAAGCATATAATTATGCCTATTCAAATAGTTAATTATGTAATTTAAAAAAAAGAAACAAAATGTGATTAAATCTTAATTAAATAAGATTCGTAAAGCAAACAAATAAAAAATTTATTTTGCGATGTTTCCAAGTGATTTCTAAAGATTTGACATATGGAAGCGTGTGTATGTGTATTTAATATGTATTTATATAGTATATAGTATAGTATATAGTCTAGTATATAGTATAGTATATAGTCTAGTATACTATATAGTTTTATATGTTTTATAGTCTTTGCTAACTTGCAGCTAAATCGGTTATATCATATATATCAGTTACAAATTTCGAGCTCTAATCTAGCAGATCGTACATAGCTATATATGCATATACACTATATAGTCTCTACAGTCCAACAGATATTCGCCTTCTATCTGAGAAACCCTGCTATGCCCAGCCGAGAGGGTAGCTCTTATCAAGCCCACTCACTGCACCATTATTATCAAATAAATGCCGTTATATAACATATCTATATCGAAACATATATAAATAGACGTCTATTTTATTTCTCGTGTATGCTTCAATATTGATTATAAATGCATAAAAGCCCATTTGGGAACACGCAGCACCTCAGATACCGGCCACACCCGCCGCGCACCACTGCGGCTTATCGTGCTCCGTGCCATGTTGGCAATTAGTCTGTGCCGTTGACTCATGCGTAGATAAAAGACATAGACTGTAGACTCTATCGATATTGGCATCGACGATGTCGGCGCTATTGATTAGGTCATTGTAACTAGCCCTTTAACATGCGCGCTCCCTCGCTCCCTCTCCCTCTCCCTCTCCCTCTCTCTTTGTCTCTCTGGTTGGCTTATCAGTAGGAGGCGCGGAGCCAGAAGATAAATAGTGAAACACTTGTTACTTGTTACTCAAGTTCACATGTTTGTCTGCTTAAGGGAACACAACAAGAGCGACAGGTGTAGCTAACAGATACATTGGCTCTGCCTGTATCTCACAGATACATTGGCTCCGGCTCTATCTGTCTGGTGTCGGGCGGAAGTTGAGGCTGCGTTTCGTTTTCCCTTTACTCTATTTATTATTTCGCTAGCCAATTGGCAGCTTGTTCGCCATTTAATTGAGATTAATCGAACGACGCAATTTTTCAATTATGCCGCATACACTGCGCAAAATATCTAAATTATATATCTATATAAATCTATGGAAAATGATTCAGTGTGCAAGGCTTAGCTGTTCCTTGCGCACACTTCCTATGCCTGCTTTCGCTCAGTGTAGCCGCAAAGTCAATTGCGCCCATCGCCGAGTTGCCAAACAATTAAATTGTGTCAATGAGCGTTAATTGAGGCCCATAGATATGGGTGCGAGTTACAGCTAGTTATTGATGGCTGTCTAATGGGCCTTTTTCGGGACGATCTCTGCCTCTCCAGATAAGCAGACAGCCAAGACGAGTTCAGTCGAGGTGCCCATACAATTCTGATACACTCTGTACTCTGCGATCTGATTGAATCAAATCTACAGCTCGCTAATCTAATACGAATCTATCAGACTGCAAGACTGAGCTGTGAATCGTTTAGCTAAAGTCGTGTGCGATCAGTTGTGAGTGGCGTCAACGACTGTCGAATGCTCGCTCAGCAGTGATCGTTGATCTGCAGAGCTTAATGATCCTAGCTGGGCAAACTGATCCTAGCTGGGCAAGCTGAGCTAAAGTCGAGCTCAATAGTAGTACTTTTCTAAGGGATACCCATAGACGAATATAAGTTTCAAATTTCAACTGTTAAGCCTCTGAGAGCCATAACTATGTTTCTATATTTCCCTCTTATAAGACTCTAGCTATAGGAGCAAATCAATTCTGTCTCCAGCTATGCTGCACTTAAACCAATATGCCCTGTTCACATCAGTGAAAGAGCATATAGTTAAATATAGTTTTCCCATTGATAGTTTTTCCTAGTTCTCAATTCAGATCAGTCTTGACTTGCATTAGAATTGAAAATTAATAACTTGGGAATGGCAGGGAGAGTTGAGTTCGGCTATGTTGGGGCTTACGGATTAGCATTGGCAACGATTCAGATGTCAGCGCAGCGCATTAAATATTTCGTGCCATTGATTAGGGCGCACGTGTTATAGTCAAGGTTCCCGTTGCTTTAGGAATTGCTATATTTAGGTGCATTTTGATTATTGTTATTGGGCTGCGTGTTCTATGCTTGGCAGTGGCAGTGGCAGTTGCAGTTGCAGTCGCCATTGCCATTGCCATTGCCATTGCCGTACAGGCAGCGCGCCGCACACAAAGGTTGCCCACAGCAGGCCGCAGAATAATCCCAACACCCGTCGCATTCTCACATGTGTCGATGCGGCCCGGCTTTGTCCCGCTTCGTGCCGCCACAGAGCTGGGATTTCGGTTTGGGTTTCGGCTGTGGATTTTCGGTCTCGATGCGAGCAGTGGCGTGTCGCTTGTTGTTTATGTATTTAATGCGCATTTCTAGTCATTTTTGTAGCCAGCGTTTTGAGTTTGCTCAACAACCAAATAAATTCACGTACTTCAATTTGACTCCGCTAATGTGTGTGCCCTAAGTGTTTCCGTGAAGGCAATATGCGACTGAAACTCAATACGATCTGCAGCCAATGCCACTTGAGGCGCATCCAAAACAGGCTGAGCCCAAGACGTTGCCCCATTAGCCGCTGGCCATTTCACTGTCAAACATGACGAGCGACCCCACAAGCTGTCAAACACATCAATAGAACTGCTCCCCAAGCAGAACATTTCAACTAACCCAGCTCGACATCTAAAACGATCTGCAGCGATCGACATTTATCGCCTTTGCCTATTTTTATCGACGCCATTCGACAATCGCTGCGATAACTGTACCAAACAGCCATCCGTAAGCTACTTTTTATAGATCTTATAGATCGTATAGATCATATAGATCGTATAGATCTTATAGATTGTATAGATCGTATAGATACTAAAGATCTTATGGATCGTATAGATTCTATAGATTTTATAGATTGTATAGATCTTATAGATTGTATAGATCGTATAGATACTATAGATCTTATGGATCGTATAGATCCTATAGATCTAATAGATCTTATAGATTGTATAGATCTTATAGATTGTATAGATCGTATAGATACTATAGATCTTATGGATCGTATAGATCCTATAGATCTAATAGATCTTATAGATCGTATAGATCTTATAGATCTTATAGATCGTATAGATCTTATAGATTGTATAGATCGTATAGATACTATAGATCTTATGGATCGTATAGATTCTATAGATTTTATAGATGGTATAGATCGTATAGATCGTATAGATCGAATAGATCGTATAGATCCTATAGATTTTATAAATGGTATAGATCGTATATATCGCATATATCAGTATGTTATAGATCTTATAGTTCGCATACCGTTGCAGAGATCTTACAGATCTTATATATATCGTATAGATCGTAAAGTATCGTGTAGTTGTTATAGAACGTATCTTAAATAGAAAATCTATTTTATTTTATTATATCAATCTTCTCCAAACGATAAACTCAACTCACCTTAACTTAAAGAAAATAGCTAACATCTAAAACACGGCCGAAAAGCGCATGATTCGAATTGAAATGTTTTGATCGCATCAGAGCTCCTAAATGCTTCATGATCTAACTTTAACTACTGCTAATGGCAGAGCAACATGTTTTCAGAATGACTTTGTAAAATCTGTTGCTTTTTCGAATCGAAGTAACTTTCTATTTGAAGTAATACTCTGTAGCTTCTACAGTTGGCTGCGCTTATTGAGTCCCAAGGCGAAACGATAAAAAAAACGAAAAAAACCAGCTCAAATATTGATAATTTAATTTGGTACACAGTTTTTTTTTTTTGCCCGGCGCTTGGCTAACTCAATTTGACCAGGGCGCACGGGATGTGCCATTGGGACAGACATACAGGAAGGGCGCATGCCCCAGCACGAGTACCTGTGTTCTGCTTGTATTAACACTTGTTGCCATAGCTGTGGGCTGTTGGTTAACTTACGCGACAGTTTATCACTTCCGATTCAATAACTCGTATTTGTATTTTGTTTTTCTATACATTCATTAGTTGACTGATAAACGCACATACACACACACACATACACACAAAACAAATTCACAAAAAAAATGTTTGCTAATAGTTATTTGTTGATGTCACAACAGAAATTTCGCACACCACAGCGCACAAATACAATAGATAGAACACAAAACGCGGCTTGAACAATGTCAATGCAAATGTAAATGTTAACGTTAATGTTAGCGCCAATGTTAAGGCAAATGTAATTATACGTAAACACACACACACTGCTCGGACTCGGCCGAACGTGTTGTTAACTGTTACGCGTCCAGCACTCGACTTGCTTGCCAGCAGATATTGCTGTCTGCTTTATAGCGATATACCCCGCACATAAATATGCTGATGTGCAGTGGGTATATCCGACACGTACTACTCAGGCTGACAGTGGGCATTCTCATAGCACTGAATCTCGGTAGGCTATCTTAAGCAAGTGAGTAGGGCCAGTCTATTCCGTGACATAAATAAAAAAATATATTAATGCATCAAGTATTAAACTAACAATTTAATTTACTGAATTTTATTTACAATAATTTATATTAACAATTAATAATAATATCTCAAAATATATTTAAATACATATATAACAAAATGTAAGTACAGGGTATACAATCAATCGTGCTTCACTTATTGATTAACAATCTCCCAGCAATCGCAGGCAGCAGCACTCACACTCGCACACAGACACAGTGTTGAGCAGAGCAAAGAGAGCAATGCAATTGGCGCATTAACAGTTAACCAAATGCGTAGGCTGCCGGCTGACAAGCCGGGCTTAGCAGCGTAGACAGCAACACGACCATGCACTTGACGACCATCAACCCCCTCCAATCGCTGTCTTTTCTTGTTCGCTTAATTCGCACACTAGTTTTAGCAAAAACGGCGCCGCAACAGCACAGCAGCAGCGCAGCAGCAGCGCAGCGGAATCACGCATAATGCAGCGATCGGCTGAGTGGATAGCGTCGCTGGACAACAGTAGCCACGGCAGCAGCGACATTAGCAGCGGCACCGGCAGCGGCACTTTGATTCCGTTGCTTGCCGTCTGTCGAAATCTTTAGGGTTTGAACTTTGACCAGCTGGCAGCAAAGGCCACACACACAAAAATTAAAAAAAGAAGTTGTGGGAAATAGATAAACATCAGGTAGATTGGCTGACAGATCGATTGATGGATAATTAACAACTAACATTGACTGCATTGGAGGTTATGGAGGGAAGATTGCCCAATTGAATATTGAGCCGTTATAAATATATAATCACCGGAACATTTGCTGCAGGCAAATATAATAACGGTAGTACGAGCATTGCAATAATATCTCACCCACTTCATACGCTCCAAGCGTGGCTTGGATAGATGACGTCGCGACGAGTTGCGTCTCTCGCTTTACTCTTACAATCTATTTCTGTGTCTCTCGCTCTCTCTTGCTTTGCTGCTCATTCTCATTAAATTTCATTCATACGCTAGCGGCATTGCTGCTAAACAGGTGCTACGGAATGCCGCATTAAGTCAATTATAGTACAGGCAAAAGTTACAAAGTAGATAATTAACTGTGTCTATATGTAGGTGTGTATTGGTCTCTCTCTCTCTCACTCTATATATATATATATATATATATATATATATATATGTATGTATTTTAACATTAAGTTTCTATACGGAAATAATGCTCGACTATCGCGAAACTAATATAAATACTCTGCTCGCTTGCGCCCGTGTGTCTGTGCGTGCGTGTGTGTGATTGAAGACTCACACACGACAATAAATATTCTAATTCACCATGAGAATTCACATTATATACACATATTTATATATATTTGTATTAGATAATAAAATAATGATATAAAAACAACTTTTTCATGCTGCCAGCGCACTTTAGCCAAGCAACAATTAGTGGCTCTGTTTGTAGATCTAACGTGGAACTGAAAGTAGAATAATAATAATAATACAATTATCGAATCGCTAAAGCTTGAAATCGATTTATAAACTTGATTATATATATTTATATGTATGCAAGGTGCAGGTTCAATAAGTTCTATTGTATACAATTATATATAAAAAAAAAACATAAATAGTTGTGTTCATAGAAATAGTAGTGCTGCGCTAGATTTTGCTCCAACTTAAGAAACCACTACTTTTTTCATGAACAACTAAATGTTGTTAATTTTTCTTTGTCAAAAAAAAAAAAAAAAAAAAAAAAATCTTCTAAGTTAATAAAAAAATATGTTAATCTTAATATTAGTTTCAAATTGTTTTCAAAATATTTAGTTAATCAGTGCTCAGTCGCACTACTATTTTTATGAACACCGCTGTGTGTATTATTAGATAACTGTATAATGTCTGTATTCTGTCTAGTATTTATGTAGTTAACTCTAATCGATTTCGCATGCCTTATCGATAAGGAAATATTAAAAGCTATTGAGCTTTTGTGCAATCTGTAGTTTTTAAGAATGTAATCTTATTTAATTTAATTTTTTTGAAGAATTTATTTTCCTGATTAGTATAAAGTATTAGACTAGGGCTAGTTACATCGATTACTAGACTCAGCTCAAGCCTTGCTTATGTGCGTTGGGAACTCCCCAGCTTTCGCTTTGCTCTCGCAGCAGTATTATAATCATCTGATTTCTGTATACTGATTAGGGCTATTTCTGAACTTCCAGGCACTTGAGCTGAAATCTATTTGATAGCAATAATCAAAATTCAATACTTCAGCACTTCTATATATGGAAATTCCATGGCATTAATCCATCTTAACGACTTATGAAATGAAATTGTGACGAGTTCTGAATGACTGCTAACTGGTTATAAAGATATAGCCACTCGAGACGCTTTGCTCTCCCAAAACATTTGCAAATATTTACACTGGGCGCTTATTCTATGGAATGGGTGGGAGGTTCGTCAGGTCTGTTGACTTTCTACTTTGCACTGAGCACTTGACTCATAGCATGATTTGATTATCTGACTATCAAAAGTTCTTTTTTTTTTGTTTTTGTATTTTTGATTTATCAGTGTGAGGTAGAAGAAAATAATTGACAAAGTCGAATTCTCTGTTCGCTGATTAATGATCGTGCCTTGGCGAACTAAATAATAAACTAAATATCTTAAGCACAGACGCGTTTTATTGACACCTGACTTTGGAGCCAATGGCACAATCGGGATTTTTATTGCTGGCGTAGAGTCCTGATTGCTGCCTAGGCTCAGCTCGATATTAGCGATCCTCAAAATTCACAATTTAACTGCCAGCCACAGCCAATCGCAGCGCATCGGAATGCACATTTTTGCGGTTAGTTTATTGGCCGAGTTCGGGCGGCTGGCAATTGACAACGGCTAAAACCGGCTGGCCAGCAAGCTGAGATCAGCGACCCAGCTGATTTCTGCCCACGGGCGAAGCTTTTTGCCATTCAAACTGTCAAATTCGGGCAAGCCAAAGGGCTGTTGGTTGCTGCAATTTCGGTTTCATTGGCAGCTTCACACAACGCACACACGCACACACACACACACGCACACGCATACATGCATGCTTACATAAAAGCTATTTCACAACATTGTCTCTTAGCGAGCTCAGCTTCGGTTTCGTTTTCGGCTGCTGCTTCTGCTTCGCCCTTCGTCTTCGGCTTTGGCTTCGTCTTCGGCTTTGGCTTCGGTTCGATCTGCTATCCAATTACCAACAATTGCATGACGCATCGCCCGCTGCTGCTGATGAGCTGCCTGCATGACTTGCCTTTTCTGGCCCAACGAAACGAAAGTGCTCTAGTCTGCAGTGCCCGACTAGCTGATACCCTTTGATATGGGCTTTGCTATGAGAGCTTTATTATTGCATAACTTTTGTTGTCTTCAGCGTAATAATTACATTCAGCTGTGTTTATTTAGCCAAAAGCAAAATTTCTTGTCTTGGAAATTAGTTTTTTTTTGTTAATTTGTGGATCGATTTTTATCGATAATCCTACTACGCATGGTATATACACGCATACATACAATTGGAAGTCTCTAGTTTTTCTGTGGCTTGTCTTTCTCATCTGCCACGCCTCCTGCTGCCTGTCACAAACATATTCACATAACTCATGTACCCTGAGCCGCCCACTTTCAACGTGTTCAGGGTATAAATAAATATCAAGCCGAAGATTAGAAATACTTGCATACTTAGTAATAATATTTATAACATCTTTGGGTAAATTTGTAATCGCAATTTCCGACAAATGAAAGAACATTAAAAAAAGACTTTAGATAAAGTATTTTATATGATGCGAGGTCTGCTCAAAAAGTGTCGCGAATGTTAACGAATTTCCTAATCTTCGATCACCGATCGTAAGCTTCGATCAATTCAAATTCAATTCAAAGTAAAGATGTGCTCTGGGTTTTTTTTCCTAGTTCCCAGCACTGAAAGAGCTCAGCTTATATATATATATATATATTGACTGCCTGGTCAAATCTGAGCTGAAATCCTTTGACCCAACTCAGCTCAGGCAGCTGCTCTCGAGGCGCAACAAACCGCATTGCACTGTCGCATATGCCCGATGGGAGTTGCTTAGAGTCTGGAGTCTCAATTGAAATGCTGGCTAATAAATCAATTGTTAATTGATTGGCGCACGCGGCAAATTGGCTTGTGAAGCTGAAAAACTAAACAAACAAAAAAAAAACATGAAATCCAATCAAAGTCGCGTTTTTCTCTCAATTGTTCAGCTTAGGCATATTATTAACAGTTAAAAATAATTTGCTACATTCAATTATATACAAAATGTACAATGCACTTTAAACTAAATCACAAAAAAAAAAAAAAACAATATATATATAGATAGATATATATATAGAAACAACAATCAAAAAAAATCTTGGCTAGACTAAGAGTTAGGTATGTGCATGGGCTGGGGCAGGGGGAGGCGGGGACGATGAATGTGCGGCGGGCAGGCAGGCCAGCTGTTGTGGAGCTCACTTAAAGTCAGCTTCGGTGACTGGCGGCGACTTGCGACGTCGGGCGCGAATCCAGTCCTCGATGTACCACAGGCTAATGGCCGTAACGCAGAGCCCATTGAAGCAGTTAAGGACGACCGGAGTGCTGTGTATCAGACCTAGTGGTGGGGATGGAAAGTGGTGAGGATAGCGGGTTGATTAGTAAGCACAGGAAGCACGGGCATGCCAACAGCTACTCACCGATCAGCGGTCCGAAGACCATGGAAAAGGTGCCCGACATCAGCAGCTGGAGGCCGGCAGCGGCCGGCAGACGTTTCAGCGGCACATAGCTGGGTATGATCAGTGACCAGAAGACGGTGCGGAAGGCCTTGTTGAGGCCCAGCCACAGAAAGATGGCCACCATCACGTAGAAGTTGGTGGTCATCGAGAGCAGAGCACGGCCCAGGCACATGCCCAGTATCCCGACCACAAAGAAGGTGCGATTGCTCCAGCTGAACTTGGCCGTGATCAGCGGTATGAGGAAGCGAATGATCAGATCAAAGAAGCCCAGCAGCGACATGGCAAACGCTATCTGGTTGCTGTTGAAGCCCAGATTGTTCAGTATGAACGGCGTCAGAATGGCGAAATTGATTTCCACGAAATTGATCAACGTAATGCCCACGGCCAGGTTGACATAGGTGATGTCGCGCAGCAGATCGAGATCGAAGAATATCACGATTTTCTGATAGAACGTCAGCTTCTTACGGCGCTCCAGTTCCTGTTCGTCCTCCAGCTGCTGCTGCTCCTTGGCGGTCAGCTGTGGCGTTGCCTTCAGCGGCTGCGCTTGCTCCCGGCTCTCGTATTCGTATTCGTATTCGGGCTCGTCATGATCATGCGCCTCCTCCTTGATGCTGTGACTGACAGAGATGCTGCGATGCTGCCGGCCGCTACCCGAGTCACGGCTGCTGAGCCGGCGCAGCTCCATGTGGCCATTCTCGCCCTGCTGCTTGTCCCACGTGTTGACCCGATTCCGTGTGCCGCTGCTATTGAGCGACGCCCGGGAGCCGAACCAGCCGTCGTTCGCGCGCGGCAACACCGGCGTTTCGGGCTCCACCACGTGCTTGATAATGTCATCATCCTCGTCGTCCGCCAGCGCCGGCGTCTTGGCCGGCTGCAGCGCCTCCGCATCCTTGTTCCGCTTCACCACGTGCCACTTGACCGGCTGATAGATCAGCGAACAGGCGATCGTGTGCAGCGAGGCGCCCGCGAACAGCAGCGTCGTGCTCACGACACCAAACTCCCGCAGCAAGAACGTGGCAAAGTAGGGGCACACGATGGGTCCAAGGCCGGCGACACCGAACTGGTAGGCCGTCGCCGTGCGCCGCTTCACCTTGAAGTACGTGTTCACCGCCAACGAGGAGGCAGACACCGTCAGGCCGCGTCCGAAGCCATAGATAATCGAGAAGCTCAGCAGGTAAACTGTAAACGTGTTGGCGAACACCATCCAGAACAGACCCACAAAGGTCAGCACCGACCCAACCAGTGCCACGACACGGTACGTGAACCGACGGAACAATGGACCATTCAGCAGACCTGCCAGCACATAAAAAGAAATTCACTTTAGATACACATGCCACATCTGGAAGCTGACTAAGCGTGCGACAAGTTGGGGTCGGAGTCGGGAGTGCTCGACTGCGATATACCTGGAACTCTGCACAGAGCTGCCTATTCTAGACTACGACTAGGAGATACCCTGATACGACTAGGAGAGCCCAACTAAGAGATACCCTAAGTACTGTTTATTCTATTTAAGTAAGACTGCTCTAGTCGGGAGTGCACGACTACGAAATACCCTAAGTTCTGTTCATTATAGACAAGATTGATCCAGTCGGGAGTGCATGACTTTGATATACCCTGAACTCTGTTCTTTATAGACAAGAGTAATCTAGTCGAGAGTGCCCAACTATGAGATACCCTAAGCTCTGTTCATTCTAGGCAAGCAAGACTGCTCCAGTCGGAAGCGCATGACTACGAAATACCCTGAACTCTGTTCATTCCAGACAAGGCTGTTCTAGTCAAGTAAGTCGGGAGTGCATGACTACGAAATACCCTGAACGCTTTCGTTTCCATCATAATAAACAAGAAAATTAAAATTCTTTGCAAATGTAGAAGGAAACATTCCAAATACATTCATGTCCAATACATTTAACACAACAATATGCCCACTTGGGCATTAAAACAGGTTATTTCTAATGGAGTTCCTATACTAATCACAATAAAATCTATCGTCATCTCTGATATGACGCCAATCTAACTGTTAATCAGTGCACACAACTAATATACCCGCCTCTCATTCAAAAACAGGGTATACTAAATGGAGTTCATGGCATTTGTGGCACTCTGCGCGCAGCTCTAACTCACCTGTAAAGGCCGAAACGGCAATTTGTGTGTTGATAATGGTGGTCAGTTCGGAGCTGGTGATGCCCAAACGCTCGAAGTGGACACGAAAGATGACGCCGAACTGTTGAGCCAATGCGAATGTGACCAGCTGCAAAGGGTATAGAGACAGATATGATATGAATCTGATTCTATATAGACAGAGAGGAGTGCAGCTACTCACAATGTTGATGCCGCTGGAGATGGCCACCAACCAGCCCCAGCCGCCATCGGGCGCCACGAAATCATCGCCCAGGTCGCCCTTGTCCCGTCGCTTCTTCTTCTTCTTGCTGGGATGCGTGGCCGTTGCTGCTGCTGTGGCAGTCGCTGTCGGCTGCTTGGGTGGCTGTTCGTCATACTTTGGCGGCTGCTCCTTGGCCACGTTCAATCTCAGAGCGTTACCGTTGCTGTTATTGTTGTTGTTGTTGTTAGTGCTGCTGGGCGGGCTGCTGTTGCTGCCATTTTTGTAATCAGTCATCGTTAAAGGCTGGCTCTATTCTAGCATCACTGGGTGGTCACTCTGATCGAAGGCTGCTGCTGCTGCTGTTACCAAGTCTGCAAAAGTTATTGTCGATTAAAGGCAACTATCTCTCTGTGTGTGTGTGTGTGTGTGTGAGCCAAGTCAAGCAGCCATAACATAACAACATTTGATACGCCAGCGCATCTCGTCTACAGATCATGACCTTCTGGCCAAGCTGATGTCTCGTATCGCAAGTCTGTGTGACTCTCTCGATAGCAGATGCCTGCCCCAGCATAATAAAAGCTCTCTCTCCCTCTCTCTCTCTCTCTCTCTCTCTCTCTCTCTCTCTCTAATTAATTAGTTGTTCAGATAAGTTTAGTGCAAATAGTGCGAACTTTACCAAGCGAATTCGATTGACTTGGACACGTTATTAATTAAAAGCTTTCTTCGGCCGCGTTACGTTAATGCTCTCAATATACGCCAAGAAAACAATAAAACCAAACGAATATCGACACAGATAAGATTAGATGTTACCCAATACGAAACATGTCATTATTAGACCTCACATATTTTCCCATATAGAACTTGTTTATTCAACTGATTTTGCGCACAGACATGTTAATTAAACTAAAATCGGTTGAAACTAAGCATTTCCCTGTTGTTAGTTAGTTATATTTTTCAAATATCGTAAATCGAATATCGTAAATCGAATATCGAAAATCGAATATCGTAATTCGAATATCGTAAATCGAATATCGTAAATCGAATATCGTAAATCGAATATCGTAAATCGAATATCGTATATCGAATATCGTATATCATGAATTATTCATCAAGTATCTGACATCGTTCATAATATACCTTATATCTTTTTTCGAATATCGTATGTCGAATATCGTATATCATGTATTATACTATCTGTATTATATTATACATCTATTATCTGACATCGTATGTTGAATATCGTATATCGTATATAAAACAAACGCATTGTCTATCAATATCATATACAATCACTTCATTCTATTATTATTATGAATATCGTAAAGCGAATTTCGCATATCTATATTTTATATCGCATATCGTATATTGCGTATCGAACAAACGCATTGTCAACCAACATTATTAGCAATCACTTTATCCTGTTCGTTACGAATATCGTAAATCGAATATTGTACATCTATATCTTATATCGTATATCGTATATCGTATATCGAACAAACGCATTGCCAACGAACATCAATTCAAATTCAAATCCAAAACTGATGAAATCTAGCGCCGCAGCTTGAAACGGCCCGAACTGAATGTGGTCACTGAACGCACTGACCGCAAATTGTTTCCCATTTGCTCTCTTTTCACGTAATTAGGCACACACACACACACACGGACAGGCACAAAGTAACACGGCTTATATAAAATTATTGCTGTCGTTCTTGTCCTTATCGTGGCACGGCACTGCAATATTTTAGAATTGATATCGAATTGGCTCTCCCTCATATCCGGGCCCTTGACAAGCCGACGAATATCGCATTGACCAACTCATAAATGCCAATGACGGCGATATCATGTCAACCATATCTTTAACTTTTCACACGACAAAAAAAAGGCACTCAACCAGCGCGCCGCTGACAACGTGTAACATAGAAATTGGCACGCGGTGATAAGCTAAGCCACACAGCTCCACTTTTGAAGGCTGCCCCCAGTGCCCTCCGCTCCTCCCCAAGCTCAGTGCGAAAAAGAAGCAATTCACGCTAGGGTTACTTAGGGCTCTTCCAAAACTGTGCACAGCCATGGAGCAACCGAGCTCAACTGTCTGAGTCGAAGCTCAACATTATCCAGATGATAAGCTAAGGCGAGCATCGAGCTTTGGAACCGACTACGATTAACAACAAATATGTATATATATTTATACAGAGAGAGGCAGCAATAATAATGCTGAATCACTTTGTCTGTCAGCCATATGGAAGGTCGCTAAAAATTGAAATAAAAATTGTTTGCTAGAGCTGTAATTATTATTAGTTTCCCTACTCAAATAACGCTTTCAAATTATATTTTTTGCTTCCATTATTATATTTATGATGCTTTGGCACAGCTCATCAAGAACTAACTAGACTACAGTTACAGTTACAATATATATTTTATATAACTTTCCTTAAGTTGGCAATTTTTCGAATTTTCTTTCAGCCTTTAAGCATCTTAACTTGGGTTGATAATACCTTAGATGTCTTCCATAGGGAAAATATTTGATATATTTTACTTTTGTTTCGTTTTGCCTTCAATTTCAGGAATTATACATCTTCTTGGGGATAAATCATGTATAGAAATATTTTTTATTTTCTTCAAAGTTCCCAAACTTGATGTTTTCTATAGGGTAAATCTTATATATATGAGACTATGGAAACTTAAATAAAAGTTAAGAGTAAAGAAAACTATAATATGTGATATATAACTATATACATATATATATATATATATATATATATATATATATATATATATATATATATATATATATATATATATATATATATATATATATATAATTATATCATATGATATAAAACAGTTTTTGCTTATTTTCCTAGTTCAAGGTTTGTTTACAAATACCATATTATCTTCTATAGGGTATATCTTATTTATAAAAATGTAATAAAATATGTTCTAGTTGTTTCTGCTCCTAACTTTCTTTGAAGCTCCCTTACTATAAGTTTTCTAAGGCCATAATAATATTATAATAATATAAAATAATATTATAATACTATAAAATTATATTGTTATAATATTCGTTGTCCAACAGAGGCACTACTATTTCTATGAACAAATCTACATATAAATATATATATATATATATATATATATATTTTTCTTTTTTTAATTTTTCCTTTTTTAAGACTCCATAAAGAAGGCCCATTCTACGCTCAGACTATAATTTACTTGTTATTAGCTTGCCTTTGCCTTAGTTTCTGCATAGCTCTCACACTACTCAGTGCTCTATGGGCAGATATCTATCATATAATATATGATAGTTTTTTTTGTTGTCTGTCATAGGTTATATCATAATGTATTTCTGTAGTTTGTTACGAAATTCTTAATTTGTGATTTATATTAAATTGATTAATTGGGCCTAATTATGGGGCGCAAATTACGAAACAATTTTGATAAATCATTGCGAGCTATATAAATTATGTGAGTTATAAACCCGCAAGTGACTTTAGCTCGATTTATGATGTGCGCACTCTTTGGACTCTTCAGCTAATATATGTCCTATAGAGTCGGGCTATATGTTAGGCCAAAAGCGAGCAGCTGATCTTTCGGCTTCTGACATAATGTTAGTTGGCTGTTGCAATGCGTGGAGAACGTTGCGAAAGTAATCAATCAGCCGTGACGAATGCCACTGGGACTCAAGGCAAGCGAAGTGATTGTTGTCGATATGCATATGCATATGACACTACTGGAGATATAAGGCCTAACGACGACTGTAGCCTAACTGAACCATTCAATCACACACTCTCTGATGCCGGAAGTGGGCCACAATTCGGTTCGAACATCAGCTGCTCGGCCGCTGTAAAACTAGCTTTTATTGACAGCGTAAATAGTGTCTATAAACATGTATATATATATATATATATATATATATATATATATATATAGTGGTATGTATATAGTTATAATCGTGTATAGTTTATATATATTTGCTGCGAAGCGTCGGACGCCAGGAAGTCGTAAGTTTTGTGATTATGAAATTCTGATTTCGGTTGACGTTCAAGAGTTCATCATCCAAGCCTCAACATTTGGGCGAAATCGAATGAAAACACGAGATTAGAGTGAATTATGCTAATAAAAGATGTGCGAGATGGCAGCCACTGTAAAAATCAACTTTTCAAGCAATCAATACACAGACGGACGGGGGGCGGGTCTGTGGTTTGGCAACAAGGTGCTAAGCCGCGTGCGCGCCGACGCGCTGAGCCCGTGCAAAGCTTTTGACGACTTGTGATTGATGGCCGGTTAAGTGAACGACACCTGAGGTATGCACCGATAATATACCGAGTCACACAATACACATGATGACCGCCTGCGCAGGGCACAGAGGCCGGCAGGTGCACGTGCTTTCCTTTCCCGCTTCTAGTGCTGACCCTGGCAGCTGGCCAGCAACATTTCTGAACAATTAATGCTAAGCTCTTTCACCAAATACTTTTCACAACAAACACACGCTACACACACGCGCACACACACTTCGTTAGCCGGCATTCGTTTAATGAATGTCTCGCAGACTGAAAACAAAAATCGACTTTAACTAATTTCGACACTAACAACCAACGAACGACAACTTTTCCGCAACGTTCTCCAGCGCGAACTGAACCGAACAAATTTGTAAATTATAGTATTAACAGTCGCAAGCAAACCACAAATACGAATGCAAACACAAACACAAATACAGGCACACAACAATACACAGAAGCACACACACACAGGCGCGCTCTCATCTATACACAAATAACTTTTTCTCGCTCGCTCTTACACACACTCTCTCTCACTCTCTCGCACTCTCTTTTGTGTTCCATATTATTTGGCATGTGGAGCAACGTTATATATATATATATATATATAAATATATAAATATATATATATATAATATATATATATATATATATATATATATATATATATATATATATATATATATATATATATATATATATATATTTACTTTCGCTTGTCGCTGTGTGCGTATTATTTTGGTCTTCATTCGTTTTCGATTTTCGATATTTTGTATTCGCTATTTGGGCTCGACTGTTTCAAAACATACAAAAATATATAAATTGGCATCATAGAAGATGATCTTCTGCACCTCGAGCATTGAATACTCTCTTAAGAGGTATACGTTAGATGATTTTTAATGACTGTAGAAAACTTTGGTCCTTGCTGAAAATATTATATACGATATACGATATTCGATTTACAATATACGATATTCGATTTACGATATACGGTATTGTATATCGTACAATAGAAAATATTGTGAATACAATATAATAAATACTATATTCAATTTACGATATACGATCGACGATATACAATATACGATATAAGATATTCGATTTACAATATTCGTTATACGATAATCGATATACAGTGCTCTATTCACGATATACGATATACGATATACGATAGTCGATATTAGGCATGTCATATTGTGTCCACTTTATGATATAGATTATACGATACAGCTTTCTTTAGTCAAATTACGATACACTTATAATTTACGATATACGATATATGGTAAATAGTATATGTCATATGAGGTACGCTATATGATGTACTCCATACGATATATGATAACTCTTCTCAGTGAGGTTAAGATATATATAAGACTTACGATATAAGATATACGATATACGAAATACGATATACAATGCACGATAATATATTATATGATACACGATACACGTTATACGATAGCTTTCTAAAGCTCCATAGCTTGTAGCACAATGGGAATAGCCTTCTGCAAGAGTATAAAATCGAAAGAAAAAAACCATTCATATATATATTTATAATTATATATGTATATATATACATATTTATTTTTTTCTGATAAGAATTTTTGCGCCTTTGCGGCCAATGATTATCAGTGAATACACACACGCACACACACGCACACACGCACACGCAGACAGTTGGACACCTAAATACATATTCATAAATACATTACGATAGGAGCAACGATTACAGTTTGATTTGACCGCCGTGAATACAGTGTGTCAAGCCAGCAGCAAAAGCGTAAATCAAAAACAAAAAATGACTAACTGTAAACGGGAAGATTACGAGTGTAAATTAAGGGAAATAACTGTGCTTTTGCAGCAATTCAATTTTACATTGAGATATGTTCCTTGCTGGCTCCTCGCACCACTGTGGCTCTGGCGTAGTATCTGGCAATAAGCCATTGCCAAGGGTAATGCTTTTAGCCAAATTGAATATCAGATGTGTATCTAAGATCTTTAGGCCCCAGCCAAGCCATGCCATATTCTGGTTCGATGGCAATGGAATTTCGCATTGTATTTCCGATATGACTTTGGCTCTCCCTCTCCCCTCTCTCTCTTTGAGAGCTCTGTTCTATATGCTCTATATAGAGCAATAATACGTATGTAGTAGGTATGATAAGTGAAGTATTGTTTTATATAAATTATAAGATATGTACTTTAGTTTTTGAAACAAACTTCTAGAAGAGAAATTGTTACTGTACTAAGTTTTTGTTTTGGATTCACATTTAGAATCAGATTCCAATTTTCAATTACTTCTAGATTCAGATTGACTATTTGCTAACTTAGATTTCCATTTAGATTTAGAATCCGAATCAGATCAATATATGAAAGCAGATACAAATTTAGATTCTGATTCAGATTCAGATTCAGATGCACATTTAGAATCAGATTCAAACTCCAATTTAAATTTGGATTCAGTTTCAGATTTTGATTCAGATTCAGTTTTATATTCATATTTAGAATCAGATTCAAATTTAGAGTTACATTCAGATTCAAATTCACGCTTAGATTCAGATTCTGACTCAACCCTAGAATCAGACTTCGATATAGATTTTTTTTTTTTTTTTTTTTTTTTTTATTATATATATAAAAGTGTAGAGCCTGTACAATCAAATTTAGTACCTTAACAACACATGTATATATATGGAATTAGAGAGACAGTTTACAGCATTCCCATCGTTCTGGCAAAGCCTTGCCGTTTAAGTCGTCTTAGGGGTCTGGCAGGGATTAGATTAAGATTTAAACTCACAGTTAGCATCAGATTCTGATTAAAATTTAGACTCTGATTCGAATTCAGATTTAGAATCACTCAGACTTAGATTTAGATTTAGATTTAGATTCAAATTCAGCTTTAAAATTCAGACTCAAATTTAGTT